TGGGAGGAAGTAGTCCAAAAGACTAACGAAGATTTTGAGGGGGGGATGAAAGCAAATTGTGGGTAGGAATTCAAGGGATAGTGGGCAACAAAAGAGGGGGAGACACGGAAATAACGACACTAAGATCTGCCGAGGGTAAGATGGTAAGCAGTTCTAAAGGAAAGAGGGAAGTACTAGTAGAGCACTACCGCAAACTTGGGACACCCACCACCAACGACAACTTCGACTCGGAGTTTGAGAAGGAAATCAACTCGTGGGCAGAGGAAAACGTTGAAAGATCTCAGAGGGAACGTAGTGATGTAGACGGGTTGCAGGGAGAGTTCACACGAGAAGAGGTAGAGGACTGCGTAGCGAAACTCAAGAATAGAAAAGCGGCAGGGGCTGATGGAATTGTGAACGAGCTTTTGAAACAGGGGGGGGAGGGGATGATTAACATGTTGGTCCGGATATTCAACTGGATATGGAAACACGAGTACGCGCCGAAGAGATGGAGAGAAGGAGTAGTCGTGAACCTGTTCAAAAGGGGGGATAAAGCTGACCCGGGGAATTATAGAGGGATAACCCTGCTGAGCACAGTGGGGAAACTGTTTGGCAAGATGATAGACAATAGAATGGGAGACATGTTGGAGGGGAAACAAAAGATCAGCGAAGGACAAGCTGGATTTAGACCAGATCGTAGTTGTGTAGACCATGTATATACGTTAAGTAAAATCATCCAAGGTAGGAAAGACGCCGGGCGTACGACATACTGTTTCTTCCTCGATATACAAAAAGCCTACGACACCGTATGGCGCAATGGATTGTGGAAAAGATGTGGGACATCGGCATCCGGGGGAAAATGTGGAGGATGTTGAAAAAGATGACAGAATGCACAAGAAGTGCGGTGATGTTGGATGGGGAAATTTCGAAGTACGTGGATATACTCCAAGGAGTCGCACAGGGCTGTACGATGTCACCCACTCTTTTTAAGATTTACATCAACGATTTGATAAGGGCGGTTGAAGCAGTAAGACAGGGAGTCCAAGTAGAGGGAAAGAGTGTGTCCGGACTGATGTTTGCAGATGATTTCGTGGGGGTATCCGAAACACCAGAAGGATTGCAAGAACAAATAGATGCGGCGGTAGGATACACCCGAAAATGGAGACTGTCGGCGAACGTAGGAAAATGCGCAGTAGTGGTCTGTAACGAAGATAAGAAAAATCCCGTAGAATTCAAATGGAAATGGGGGGAGGAAGAACTACCGGTAGTAGACAAGTATACATACCTGGGAGTAGAGATTTCGAAGGAGTGCTCATGGGACGCACACATAGCGAAGTTGATTGGGAAGGGTAAAGCTCAGATAGGCAAGATGGACGAGATCCTTACGGACCCACACCTAGACACTAGGATTAAGAGGTGTATTCTCTTGAATGTGATTGTACCGTATTCTCTTGAATGTGATTGTACCTAAGCTAGAGTATGCAGGAGAGATATGGGAAGGTAACGAAAAGGCCGTCAAGCAGCTGGAAACGGTGCAGATGGCAGCGGCCAAGAAAATACTAGGATGTTCAAGTACAACGAGCAACACTGTATTGAGAGCAGAATTGGGAATGTACTCTCTTAAAACAAAGAGAGACATGCAGACGTTGAATTGGCAGTACAAGGTAAGTAGAATGT